GAGGAAAAGCAAGACGGACATTTAATCAGAATGCTTCTAGCACTAATAGTATCGGAACTATGCACTGGCTGCTGAAGATGAGAACGGAGCGCTTACAAAATGTCCCGAGGGCTGTGATGTCGGTTCTTGAATCAACTCAACTCAACTAGTTTATACTGTAAAAGGCCTAGGCTTCTTAATACCACTGTCACGAACATTGTCCACTTTCTTTGGAGTCATGCTGAGGGTTAATTCCATGCAAAAAGCAACCAACAAAATAACTGAATCAAGAACAGCACAAAGATATTGTTCACAGCACGAAAATCTCAGTACAGCCGAAAACATGACACCAAAGCCATGTTTTTATGTTCGTGCACCAACGTTTGCTTCGTTAAATATGTTCGTGATTAGAGGCGTTCTTAACCCAAGGTGCCACTGTACCTACAAAGAGAACTTTTATGCCTAGTTAAAAGTGATCGCTGGGGCATCCTTACAAAATTTTTCGGGGAAACTCTTAGGTTTCGACGCCTATAAGCAGACTGAGCAGGAAGAGGTATTTAATTCAAAATGGCCGAAAAGGCAAGAAACAGATAATTTCTGCATTGTGCTTAAATGAACATTCACACTAGGATTCCATCTCTTCCCCCCCCCCCTCCTTTTTTTCCCCAACGCCCTTTCTTTCCTTTCTCTCTTCTTTTTGTGCAATGGGGACAGATTATGCGGTTCCTGGGCATCACTATATGCATCTGAATAATGAAAGTGGGTGTGTGTGTTTAACGACACGCCTAAATATCTCGTTACGAAATACGTGCCCATTCCTGATTCAATAAAAAATGGTAAGCATTTTCATAATTGCAGCTGCAAGGTCAAAGTGCAAACGTTTACTGCGGGACAGCGTCTCCTTGGTGACGAGATGAATGTTCAAGGAACATTGGGTTTTAGTGCCTCTGTGTGCAGATTGCGTCAGGGAGATAAAACAATAGGGAAGATGGAATTACTGACGCAAGTTACTTTCAAAGAAGTTACTGATGTAAGTACTTTCTTTCCTATTCACGTGAAAAACCGGTTTTTTTTTTACTTACTTTTAGTTTTACTTTCTCTGTCCACATGATTGTTCATTTTATCTCTGATCTTTCTCATCATGTGTGTAAGTTTGTGTGTATGTGTGTGTGTGTGTATATATATGAGAAATGAGAGAGGGGTAAAAGAAAGAAAGTAAAATTCATATTCGTTATGAAAATAACTGAAAAAATACAAAGAATAATAATAATAATAACAATAACTACAATATAAATAATTAATACATCAACAGTAATAATTAAAATAATGATGATGATAAAAAAAGTAATATCAAAAACACAAAACAATCATCGAATATTTCAAGTGAGCTAATGTCAATGATAATAATAATAATAATGATAATAATAATAATAATAATAATAATAATAATAATAATAATAATAATAATAATAATAATAATAATAATAATAACAACAATAATAACAAAACCTGAACAATCAATAAAACCTGAAAAGGCAGCTAACGTCAATCTTAAGGCAGCTAACGTCAATAATAATAATAATAATAATAACAATGCAAACTATCATCAACATGCCAATGTTCGATGATTCCAGCATGATAATTGTCTATGTAATTATGTTTCTGCCATTTGGCTGGTCCATTTACGGAATGTCTTGTCCATGACACAGGGAGGCTTAGCTAATGGGCTCATAGTTTTAACCATAACAATAAATGTGTGCAGTGTTTGTGTGTGTGTGTATTTGTGTGTGCGTGTATGTGTGTGTAAGTGTATGTGTGTGTAAGTGTGTGTGTAAGTGTGTGTGTGTGTGTGTGTGTGTGTGTGTAAATGAGTGTTTGTGTATGTATAACAAGTTGGAGAACTACCAAAGATATGGAAAGAAAGTTAAATGCATTTGAAAAAAAATATATCTGAGAAAAATCCTGCACATAAAGTGGATGCATTTTTAAAAAAAAGGAAATCAGAGAAATGTCCGGAGACATAACTGTATTGACTGTAATAAGACAAAGAAGGTGGAGATATACTGGGCACACTGTGAGACGAAATGAGCAAAAAATTACAAAACAAGCTCTAAAATGTGGAGAAAAAAAAACTGCCAGAGAAAAACGCAGACGTCAAAGGAAACATTAACTTCTTCTTCTTCTCCTTCTCTTCCACCTTGTACCTCATCGAAGTGTCGGGGGAGATGTAATGTTCGTTGATGGGCTCTGTCAAGAGCACTATTAAGACTGATGTTAATTTTTGTAAGGCTGTTCCTAATGCCATCACTCCATATTTTCCGAGGTCTTCCACTCGCTCTATACCCTTTGTAACGTTTTAGTGTGGCTCGCTGTGGCGGATAGTACCAGGGCATTCTTGTTAGGTGTCCAAACCACTTCATTTGTTGTTCTTTGACGACCTGTAAGACTGCTTTATTCCTAGCATTCGTCTGATTTCATGATTTCGAATTCTGTCTTTCCTTGAAACTCCTGCAGCTCTTCTAAGGCATTTCATCTCTGTAGTCACAATTTTACGTTCATTGGAGGATGTAAGTGTCCACGTTTGGCATTGAAAGCATAGAAGGAAACATTATGAAGAGCATTATTACGAGAGTTCAAAAACGCTAGGCTGAACGCCAAGTCAGAAGTCTAGAGTTGCATGAAATAGAGCGGAGTGCAGGAATCAAATGCGAGTCCTATATACAAGAAAAATGGATGATAGTGAAGATAATATACAGCGCGTCGGCAGCTCCCTTGAAATTTTCTTGGAGGCGGGGCTCGAAAGGCTGAAAGTTTGCAATAATAGTGTGCAAGTAATAAATAAACTCTGTGTGCGTGTGTGTAAGCTGATATATATATAATAAATACAATATATACTGTGTTTAAACAGGACTTCGTGTGTGTATTGATCGTATATATTTATTAGTTACCTGATTACCTAAACACGTTGAGATCATAAGTATATATATATACTAACAATAATATCAGTTAAACATATAATAATAATAATAATAATAATATATATATACGTTACGCGTGGGCATTTAAACAGGACTTTCGCCCTTCCTGTGAATCCAGTGCACCCCATGTGGCCGCACTTTTTATTGTTCGTCTCCATCGGCCCCCTGTATATAGGGTGTCCATACTTTATTTAGGTATGAAAAAAGAAAGGTTATCATCTCTTCCAGATTGCGGAGGACACGGTGAGATTATAAATATGCATATAATAATTACTTGGGGCTAACAAACATGGTTAACAATAATTGTACAATAATAGTTAAATAATAATAATAATCATCATAAAAAGAGCCATTATCATCAGCATGACATCATTTGGACGCCTCTGACAAGGAGTGGTGAAAATCAACTACAGCTAACCATCTTTGCGGAACTAGCACCCATATTATTGATTCCCCAGCTACCGCAAGCAGAGGATGAACAGGATTGTTTGTGCCCACATTAACAAAATAGTTCATTGGTTCTGATGAATATGTAAAACTTATCGCAGCGAAATAAAAGGGGGAAAAAGTAATAATAACTGCCATATTCAGAACTGGAATTGTTGGATTAGATATGAAAATTTGTCAGGAAAGCGGGAGATTTCGAATTAAGACGGGGAATTAATTGATTATTGATTCGTAGACGAGATTTCTTGGCGCAGGTTAATGTGCGCTTGAACTTTGAAGCGGCATTAATGGAAATGTGAAACACACTATTGGACATTGCTGAAAAAATATTATGACAAATAATTATCAAGCATTGATTGGCACTCCCAGAAAACGGACGAATGAAGTAGGGAGGAAAGGATATCTTCTTCTCCAGCTCCTCATCCTTCTCCCCGTCCTTCATCTCCTCCTCCTCCACCCCTTTTTCTTCTCCTCCTCCCGCTCCCCCTTCTTCTTCTTCTTCTTCTTCTTCTTCTTCTTCTTCTTCTTCTTCTTCTTCTTCTTCTTCTTCTTCTTCTTCTTTCTGCGACTAAAACAAAGGTCCTCCTAACCAACCCAACTTGGACTTCTATAATTAATTGAGTACAGCTTACCCTATGTCCTCGCAATTATTTTTCTACCGCACTTAGTAATTATGGAAGTGTATAATAAATAATAGACACAAATGATTAACATTGTAAAACCTGTTGTTTGAGGGTAGCGACAACGCCTCTTTGTAGCGATTAAAAAACCATTCGATTAGCTAAACATTCGAGACACTATGTCTCGGTAAGTTGTAAATTTCTATAGTCTGTTGTGGCTTTAAGATTGTTTTTTACAGTGCCTTTCGTTTTGATTAAAGGGTCCCATTTTGTGAATTGATGCATGTTTAACAGCCGACAAATTAGAAGTTTGCTGAAATCGGATGTGATTGGTCGAAAGGCGCACATATCACAACCAAGCTGTTTCACTTACCCTATTAGTATACACCCCCCCCCTTCCACCCACCCCAACCTCACCTGAGCCGTAAGAAGTGGCCCATGGATCACAGCCAGTTGTATTGTATTCATGATTCTGATGGAATGGTGCTCGGGCCTATCGTCAGTGATGACCCTTATTTTCAACATGTTGGCCCCAGTGTAAACTTCGTTGAATATCCCTGTTTTAAAGCATCGAAACAACGCCAGTAATGTAAGACATTCGTTATGCTGGTTTTCTATGTGTGGCGTAAAATTCCGTTAAGCCACCACGACAGTAGTTACTATTCAATGGATATCTTTGACGAAGTGGTCAACCCCTCGGCCTCACCCCCTGAAGGCTGTAGGTTTATTTCCTGGACGCGTCTTGCATTCGGTTTATGCGTACAGTTTTTAGGGAGACCCCTGGGGATCATTGCTAGAGCTACGGAGAACGTTCGTTGTGTGACGCTCTCGACAGGCGGCTGGCCATTCTGCGTAGGGAGAGATCAAGTTATATGGGATAAACTCAATGCAATATAAAGTCGATCCTCTGGACTTCTTCTTTAACTGTTGAATAACCATGGACCTCTTTCTGTTCATTGCAGGTCTTCCCTACAAAATGTACCAGCACAGCCACGACGCCTCTGTAAGTCCCGAGAAGAGGAAGCAGAGGCGGATACGCACTACGTTCACCAGCGCCCAGCTCAAGGAGTTGGAGAAGGCGTTTGCCGAGACCCACTACCCGGACATCTACACCCGCGAGGAGATCGCCATGAAGACTGATCTCACCGAGGCTAGAGTTCAGGTACGGTGTCCGCCCATGTTTCCATAGTTGAAAGACCATCATCATCATCAGGTACTATATATGCCTCTCCATAATCTGCGATCTCCTACAGCATGTATCAGTACACACCTCCATTGCAACAAGACTGTTAAACGGTCTTCCTCTATCTAGTTTCTTATCTTTCCAGTGTCACTGTTTTTTTCCTCTTCTCATAACATAAAAATGATGGCTGTTCCTCGATGTCTGTGATAAGTTGTCTCGGGCTCTCGCCTCTTTCATTGTGGTTGGAAAGCTAAGAAAAAACTACACTCCAAGGCCTCCCATACCGATTGCATGATTCGTAAGAGTCGAAAAGACATTGGGGGCTTCTTTCAAAGTCTTCGAAGGTCTGTCTATCACTTTTTTCCTTGGCATGGGTTCCGGGGTCACTTTGCATTAAAAAGGAAAGATCTGTAAAACGATGCAGACCCACTACTCTGGCCAAACAAGCAAAATCGAAATAGACGAACAATCAGATCTTTTCGCCAGGGTTCACAGCCGGTAAACGCAAACAACAACTTTGTTCCTCGGAGTTGTAACCTAAATGTTTACCATGCCCTGCTCTCTAGCGCAGTTGGCTAAACCGGACTGCGCGGTGACCGGGTGACGAACTCCTTGTGGTCCGGGTTCAGTCCCGGGAGTAGGCAGAAAAGCCACATTTCCTACCAGATTTACGGTACCTATCATGGAATCAAGGCCGAAGGGTTGCAATATCCCTAGTACAGAGCCAAAGGGTTAACAACTCACGGTTTCTAGATATTAAAAAAAAACTTTTTACCATATAATCGTATGAGCAAAAAATCTCATTCCGGACGGCGGCAGACTTACAAGGCAGATACCTGATACATCGTTCAGAGAAGTTTTAACTAGGCCATACATAACGACTTCACTAGCCTGATGAAATCTTGTCTATTTGTCATATCTTCCAATCTTCAAGATACCACACTTCAAGATACCATACTTTAAGATACCATACTTCAATATACCATACTTCAATATACCATTCTTCAAGATACCATACTTCAAGATACCATACTTCAATATACCATACTTCAAGATACCATACTTCAAGATACCATACTTCAAGATACCATACTTCAAGATACCATTCTTCAAGATACCATACTTCAAGATACCATACTTCAAGATACCATACTTCAAAATACCTTACATCAAGATACCATACTTCAAGATATCATACTTCAAGATACCATATTTCAAGATACCATTCTTCAAGATACCATACTTCAAGAACTGAAATATTGAAGACGGTTGGCTGTTAAAGACTTGAAACACAGAAAATGGAAATATTTTGGTCACTTGAAACGTCACGAAAGTTTAGAGAGAACAATAATGAAGGGGTATATGCCTGGGAAGAGAGAAAGAGGAAGGCCAAAGAGAAGATGGGTGCAGGTTGTGGCGGATGATCTCCAGATGGGTGTATTGAATGCGGGACATCTTGCTAGTGATCGAGAAGTTTTCCCGAAGGTTGTTAAAGGAACAAGGTTCTGCAAAGCACATGTTATTGACTGACTGACTTTAAATCTACTTTTTTTTTTTAAACTGAAAAAAAAAAAAGAATTACATAGGGAAGAGAAAGGATAGAAAATCGTAAGTTAAAGCATAAGCTCCTTCTTCTCGTCCACTGGCAGTAAACCCCAGCAGACAGCGCTGGGTGTTCGTCCACCTGCGGACTTTAGTCTTGTTCCAGAATCTGAGTGCTGCATGCATATCCGTTTCACAGATCTGGCTTATTTGAATGCAGACTTGTGGTTCTTTGTCTCTCAGGCATATGTACTGACCAGCTGGCCAGTAATGCACGAACAAAAGCATGAACAGAGCTGATATCATCAACGCTGTACGGACTAGGTTGGGTGGTAATGTTAAATCTCTGACGCTAATACGATAGCGTGTCCTTGGAGTTAAGCTTATCGAAGCACGTGTATGCCGTTTTTGATGCCAAGACATAAGACACTTAAATCAGCTTCTCATGGGAAAAGTCAGCGGGGTTAGGAACTTTGGAGTGGCTGCTGCATCGGAGGACCGAGCACACATGGGAATGCTCAATGTGCAATGACGCCAATCGGGATAACATAACATAGCACACGAAATCCTTTAATATATTTCCCCGAACTTTGCAATATGTGTTATGCGTCTGATCCCTTGCCGCTCACTTTCAACGTTAAATTGTCACTGAATTATGATATTAATGATGATGGCGACAACAATGATTGTGATGATTAATGAGACTATGATGCTAATGTGGAGGATATGACAAAGACCCGTGATTCCCCCAAACTGTGCGCACGCGGCGCCTCACAGGGGCGCCGCGACTCCTCACAGGGGCGCCGCGAACAGGGGCGCCGCGATTGTGAACAGCTTCACCTAATTTTTTTTTTCCTCACCAAGGGGCCCGAATACAGTCATACGTTCTACTTAGGTTACCTCCTCGCGGTGTGAAAAATTGTAAAAGCTTTTAATTTGTAAATAGGAGAATAATCGCGGTTACCAAGAACAGTTTTTTATTGAAAACACCAGACAAAAACGATTTGGATGACAAAGACCACGACGACGACGACGAAGATGGTAATTATGATGATAATGAAGAATGAGGCTGACGATGACAATGATAACGACCATACAGTTAGTTGCGTATCCTTTACAAGACATTGCAGAACCAATCCCAACATTTTTTTGTTTGTTGTTGACTGTTGTGATTTTTTAATATAAATTTACGTTCAGTGGTTTCATTGCTCATTAAACGGTCGGTTCTCGTTACCACTGTCGAAACCAACACAAGACATTATACTGCCAAATCGCCTGCACTTGGGATCGACCCCGGCTCCTCGGCCTTACGAAGCCCGTTCACAAGGCCCAATCCACAGACGCCGACGACCGTACTGACAACTGTTAAAGTAATTATTATTGTAATTACAGATCCGGTTTTTGTTGAATTGTGATATTGCTGCTACTGCTTATGTTAATCTTGTATGAAAACATTCTCTTCATCAGGTCTGGTTTCAGAACCGACGAGCAAAGTTCAGAAAAATGGAAAGAATGAAACAACAAGCTCAGTCCAACACCCAGTCCGGGAGTTCCTCAGTCAAACAGGAACCCAGCAACAACGCCTCCACCACTAGCAGCAACGGCAGTAACAATGGTACCAACAACAGCAGTAGTAGCAACAGCAACAACAACAACTCCACCACCAATAACAACAACATCAGCAGCAGCAGCAACAAGGAGAAAGTCAAATCCGCCGAGGATTCTCACAGTAAGAATTTTTTTTTTTTTTTGGATGAAAAACTGTTTGGCCGTAACATTCATTATCTCATTAGTTTTTGTATACTGATGAAACCGTTTTTTTTTTTTTTTTCTAGTAGTAAAATTCACTGTATCCCCCTATTTAAAAAACTTTATTTAAGATTTATTATTGCGCACATTTTCTCTTCCTTTTTTTTCTTAGCGTTTGCTGTCTGTAAACTCCGGCGGAAGGTTTTGATTGTTTATCCCATTCCGGATTTTAGTCATGTTCAAGAAAAAAAGTTCTGCCGGCACATAAATTTTAACATACTGGCTTACTTGTAGGCAAACAGTTGGTTCGTCATCTTTCAGGCCCTCCCATTTCAAAGTAAAAGCCCCTAATTAGTCGCCTTTTACGACATGTTTGTGGCATGTGGGTCTTTTCTATCCCTCCCGCTCCCACCCCATCCCCCAACAAATAATAATAGGGCTCCGGAACCCACACGAGGTTAGTTGCGTATCCTTTGCAAAACGTTGCAGAACCAACCCCAACAGCCCCTGGCTGTTGTGTGGCTTTTCTATGCAAATTTACGTCCAGTAGTTTGCCATTTCTTACTGCACGGTCGGCTTTCTTGATACCACTGTCGAAACCAACGCAAGGCGCATGGCCTCCAGCTGGGATCGAACCCGGCATCCCAACATTACTAAGCGTTCGCATCGACTTAGCCACAGAGCCGATCCGGAACCCACACGACGAATACATATTTTGACTCGTTATAGAATTTCAAATTTTGCAATAATCTGTGTTGCTGAAACCCACAATTGAAAAACAAAAATCATAACACCAATGTTACCGTTTGGATTCTAAACTATAGTTAAGCTAAAATCTCAAATTAAACAGACTAAAAATTATTACTAAAACAATATATATATTTATTTTTCTAGAACAAAAGAAAAGCTTTAGAATTAAATCCAGGAGTATGTTTATGTATCTTGAAGGAACGATCTCTAGCCGAAACGTTTATTTTGTCACTCGGGATTATTTTGATGGGAAATATACCAGTGTACTTTTTGTTTTGGTAAATGTTTACATTGTTCAACAAAAGCATGAAAATAAATGAGTAAACAAATAAATGATCAAAAATACTAACTTTCGGTAGTAGAAGACCCCTAGCCTTGCGTCCCCTGATGTTTAAGCTCGAGACCCTTTTGTAAAAGGAAATAGATATCACTGGTACAGGGTTTGGAAACCGAAATATCGTAGTGGCTGAAGAGTGGCCTGTGTTTTGGGAACCTAAATATTGTACTGACTGGACTGTGGCTTGAGTTTTGGGAGGCGAAATATCGCAGTTGCTGGACTGTGGCTTGAGTTTTGGGAGGCGAAATATCGTAGTTGCTGGACTGTCGCCTGAGTTTTGGGAGGCGAAATATCGTAGTTGCTGGACTGTCGCCTGAGTTTTGGGAGGCGAAATATCGTAGTTGCTGGACTGTCGCCAGAGTTTAAACAGCCGACATATTGTAATGGTCGCATTCTCGACTGCTGAGACCAACATAGGGAAGTCTGTAATAGTAATTTAAAGGGGGTTGATGTCCGCCTCCAGTGTTTTATTTGCGTCAGCGCCCCTGTGTATTGAAATAATTAGTGTTGGCGTAAGTTTTCATACAACAGAAAAATAAACACACCAGCAACGCCTTTGCAAGCATGACGCCACAATGTGCTTATATGTGTTCTTCAAAACAACAATAGTCATGTAGAACATTTGATATAAATAAAACTGGTTTTCATTGGGGGAAAAAAATTCAAGAAATGGAAACTGATGGTACATCCTGTGTAATAGTATAATTGGTATAATAATTGTTTAGTAGCAAACAGGCAAGTATCACTTCAGAGGTCCCGGGTATTTAGCGTCCTTTGGATATTTTCTCCGGGAAACGTCGGTGTGTTGGAAAACGAGCAGGCAGATAGACTAGCCGGTTCTGCACCACTTGGTGGTGAAGTGATGTGTGACAAGCTAGATGTTGTCAGGGCCCTTTGGGAGCGAGTGAACAGTGAAGAGGCACAAATAGATCATTACGGTCTGAGGAGAATGGCGCTGTGAGGAGTTATCAGGGGATCTGGCAGACGTTCAACACCCAAGGAAAAGGCTAGTCGGATGTACAATCAAACAGTTACTGGTACCATCGGAATTGGCACTCTTCGCTTGCTGCTGAAGATGGGATCGGAGCGCTTATCAGAGTGCCCCGAGTGTAATAATGTCGATTTTTAATTTAACATTCAACATACTAGCACACCCCATTTAATTATTTCACTCCCAGGAAATTTGAAGGTACATGCTGAAGTGATACTGTAACCACGCTGGGGAATGCATAACTGTATTATTTTGAAACGAGCATATCCAGTGCTGCATGTTGTAATATCTAGCCAGATTTCTTTCTCATGCTCATACCAAATGTAGAAAATGTAAACAAAATACATCACATGTTGTTTGGTGCACTGGGGCAACACTAGAACCCAGATTGTGCATTGCTTGCTTGCTGGTTGTACCCAACTAGGACATCACACAAGCGATAAACACCCGGTGTCACAAAGTGACACCATCCGGATGAGGATCACCTGTGGAGAGGTCTCAGAAACCCCATTCAGCCGGTATGGCCACAATTGTGGCCCAGCTATGTTTATGGCCTGCGGCAAAAGCCAGGGTGGGGCTTCAAATAAAGAAAAATTGCATCCCACATGGATTATTGTGCGTTGTTTGGGACTCAAAGAGTTCAAGCGGATAATTTTCAAATATGTCATGTTCTTAATATAATCCTCTGTGCTTGGTAAAACTAATCAGCTTAATAATCAGTGTTTCTGTTATTTCAGATCAAGTGCATGGCAGTCAGGAGTCGAAATGGACGTCGCCAGTTGTTCACAACCCGTCGGCCATTAGCAAACACAACCAGTCGCATAACGTGCAACCGCCATCTCTTCACGGACCATTCTCAGGGATCCTCGGTGGTCCCGCACACGACTATCATTCTCTGAGTTCATTGGATAAAAATCCTCCCCTCTCAAACGGATTGTTGTTTTAGAAACCTTATGTTCGGTCTACAAGAAATTTAAAAGAGAGAAGTGAAATATTTCGGCCATATTAAAAGACGTAACAGCTATACTGGAGGGACAAGTTGACGGTGAAGGAGCGAAGGGTAGACAGAGAGAATCAAGGGTGAGGATAACATTAAGAAGCGGGTGAACAGCAGTCTCAGAGAGTGTACAGGCCAACAGGAGGCAGAGAGTGTTGGGGTTTCATGACAGTCAACCTTCATTATGGATACGGTACTTAACTGATTGATTTATTCAGAGAGAATTATATTTTGTTGTTGTGTTTTAACATGTCGTACCAATTTTTACAATAACACTGCAAATACAGTTTTTGAAAGCTTGTTAACTAACAATTCGACTGTTTTGAGTACATTAATAAACAAAACAAACAATTTCTTGAGGCCTCAGAGATATGATTGTAGAAAAGATTCATTAGAATGCCATAGACATCCGCGAAAGAGCAATACAGATGTTTTGAAAATGGCGAAAATTCGAAGTCCTGATATTGTGGTCAAGTTATGAGAAGAAGAAACTGGAACTTTTGACCTTTAGACAGATTTGTGAGGAAAGAGACAAAAAAAAAAAAAAGAGCGCGAGAAGATTCTTGAGGGCCTTTTGAGATGGCATCATGGGAATAAAAGACAAGAAAGGGACGGGGGTGGGGGTGGGGGTGGGGGAGCACATGACTGATACATGATACTGTAAATCGCAGATTGTGGAGAGATATGATCGCCCTGGCCAGTCGGCGAGACATGTGATCATGGGAATAAAAGACAAGAAAGGGACAGGGGGGGGGGGGGGGGGGTAGCACATGACTGATACATGATACTGTAAATCGACGATTGTGGAGAGATATGATCGCCCTGGCCAGTCGGCAAGACATGTAATGATGACGTTGTTAACCCACTAGCTGTCAGTACATTTACGTACAGCTGTAAAACGACCATCTTAACGCCCGAACTTAAAGGGAAGATGTGACAACCATTCAGTATGATGTCTTATCGAAAAATTCTGGTTACTTCACGGAGAGACCACATTACAAATGATAAAGTTTATCGTATCATCACTCAACGAATGCACAACTATGAAATTCTTTTTAACGACAGTGAAAAGACGGGAAAATGCAGTGGTACGACCATGTAGCAAGATCGACCGGCCTCTCCAGAACTATACCACAGGGCTTGGCAGATGGGAAAAGGAAAAGTTGCAGACCAAAAATGAAGTGGCTATAGAATTTAGTTGAATGCACATGCTGGAGTGATACTGTGACCACGCTGGGGAATGCACAACTGTATTATTTTGAAACGAGCCTATCCAGTGCTGCATGTTGTAACATCAAACATCGGATCCATTGCATTTGACTGACAGAGGTGGAAGGGGACGATCAGACAGTCGACAGTAACTGGTGACCCAACGACACGCAGTGTTATGGAACTTTGGTGATGATGATGAAAATGATGATGCTGATGATGATGTTTGCTAATGCTGATGATGAAGTTGATAATGTTGATAATGGTGAACTTTTAATGGGAGTTACTTTTCCTTATGATCCATGCCATATTGCGCTGGTAGTCACGTTAGTTCCCAGCCTTTAGTCTGGTGTACTGTCAGTGATTTCTAATACTGTAGTTCTTCTATACAATGGTACGAAATGTCCAACTTATTCTTTCTTGTTCTACTCCTATGTTTCTCCCTCGTCCAAGTTTCCGATTGTGACGTCCTTCATTTCCGCTTGTCATGACATTACCTAAGAATGTAAGTTGTCTCATTCTCTCAGCCATTACACTCTATTGTCATCATGATGAGAGTAATCAGTGGCGATTTAAATAGATTATGAATGCCTTGTTGTTTCTCACTCTCCAATCTCTATTATCAAGTTGCGACTGGTGTTATAATTTGTACTTGCCAATATGTGTATGGCTACTGTAACTTATGTCAAACTTAATGCACACAAATCAAAAAGTTTGCTGGATTCTTTCTTTTTGCCAATTAGTTAAAAAGTTAGTTGCGTATCCTTTATAGTACGGTGTACAACCAACCCCTAAGGTTTTTGACTGTCGAGTTTTACTGGGCAAATTGATGTTCAGGAGTTAGCCAGTTTCCTACTGAACGATCGCTGCTCCACATAGTTATCGAAATCTGCACAAAGGTTTCTGCTGCCAAATCGCCACCTGCTGGAATCGAATTAGGTACTTCTGAATTACGAACCTCCTTCGCAACGACTAAGCCACATACGCTGACGGTAGGCTGAACCAATTCAGCCAGCTGTTACGGTAACTTGCTCGTATAGTCTGTTTCAGAAGTTGTGTCCAACTTTGAAAATCTGTAAACCAGTGACCGTTGGGTGACAGTTGTTGCTATTTAACATACAGGCTGTTAATAATCATGTTCTTGAAAGATGGAATTTTTTTTTTTGGGGGGGGGGGGGGGAGGGGGGTTGTGGAAACAAACATCTATTTTTTATTTTGAATTATTTGTGGTATGTGAACAACAACAACTTACACCCATTCAAAGCAAACAATTAGCATGCTTGCAATAACTTGAGAAAAGTGGGTAAGGAAACTTTTCAAAACACCCAGTTGCACGCGTTTCATTGGCGTTTCACGCTCAAGTGGTCATCTCCAGTATTAGCCTTCCATGAGCTGTGGATTTTTAGTTGTATGCTGAAAATGCTGTTAAAATGATTACCACGCATCGCTGCAAAAAGGAACTGATTTCCAAACAATCTCTTCGCATGTGTCAAATACTGTATATATATTTTTAAGGATACACAAATGATTAGTCAAACACAGATCGAAGTAATTCACCTCGTTAAGAAAACAGCAGCACCTGTGCAACTGTAGATTATGAAATCATAAGGACATGGAATATGTAAGGTCACATGCAAAAATTGTACGTTGATTCGTATAGGAGTTTACGAGATATATGTTAAAGTGTGAGGGTACGATTTTTGAAACGCACTATAGATAGCAGTAACTTTGGTCCAGTATATCGCTGCCAGTTACTTGATGGTCTAGTCTAGAAATATGCTAGCAAACAAATTCTGCAACATCAGGGTGTCCTATAAGTTTGCATACATAGGAAAAATAAACATACTACAACCGCCAATACAAACATAAGTCAAGCGGTGCTTTTACATGTTCTTTTATCCATGGAGGAGACTCATTGACATTTGTCAAAACAGTTGTATTTTTCCAATGTATGGAAGCTTTAGGGACACCCTGTATTGTTTGTGCCCGCACTTTTTATTATATAAGAGGAAGCTATTGCTTTAAAAACAAATCAGAAAATGGTCTTAATCTTTCATCTATTATTTTCTTCTTCTTCTACTGCTTCTTCTTCTTCGCGTTCACCAGCTGTAAACTCTGGCGAAAAGTTCTGTTCCAGAACCTGAGTGTTACGTGTGCATGCGTTTTACAGACCTGACTCATTTTTATGCAAACTGCTGGTTACTTGCCTCTCAGGCAGATGCACTCCGACTTCGAAGAAAGCTCCCAATTAGTTGATTCTTACGATATGCTTTGCGTTAGGCAGTGGGTCAAATCTCCCCCCCCCCCCTTAAAATGGCCCCAAAACCCACACGGGGAAGCTGTTATTTTGATTTTCTCACTTTCCGTTGCATCTATAACTGCCCAGTTCCATTTTAGGAGAATAATTTATGTTACTTCATCGTATCCACATGCGACGATGCTCATAGAATAGTTGTCTAATACACACAATGAGTTAAATTATTCCGTATATAATAATTAGATTGTTACATTGACTAACTTTGATAATGATGTGTTGAATGATTGATTGTCAGTTGGAAGCTTGGCTGACTGATTGAGTAATTCGTTGATTGATTGTTACTTTCAGTATTTAGTTGATTGCTGATGGATTAGTGATTGATTAATATCGTGATTGATTGACTGATTGATTACTAGTCATTTTTTTTGGGGGGTACTTGATTAAATGATCGATTCATTGGTTGACTGTTTCGTTCAGTAATTAGTTAATGGATTGACTGAATAATGTAATGATTAATTGATTGGTGATTGACTGATTGATTGACTGTCATTTTTTAATTAGTTGATTGTTCGTTTGATTGATTCATTGCTTCGTTGAGCATTTGACTGATTAATTAATAATTAATATTATGATTTATTGATTATCCGCCGTATGATTAGTTAATTGACTGATTCACTGATTTATTGTCAGTTAGTTATTTGATTGGTCAATTGATTATTTCATTGATTGATTTTTTCGTTTAGTAGTTCGTTGACTGGTTGTTGATAGATTATTATCATGATTGATTTATTGTCATTTGATTGGTCGGCTGGCTGATTGATTGTATAATTATTTCATTGATTGATTGTATAATTAATTCATTGATTGATTGTTTCGTTAAGTAGTTGGTTTATTGTTCAATATCATAATTGATTGATTGCATCTCAGGCTGGTTAGCTGATAGAGTAAATCATTCGAAACTCTTGCTCTATAAAACTATGGATCAAGCATCCAATCCCTGATGTGTCGCTGGCGTTAAAAATGCCCTTTACTAAAATTCCTATAATCTCATTCATTGAGCTAACCTTCCATGTCTCGGGGTGTTTTCTGTCCACTGCCTCTAGGACAGGGCTATTCAACTGGCGGCCCCCGGACCAAATCTGGCCCGCAAAAGTCTAGCAAGTGGCTCACTGATCCTTGCTTAGTGTCTTGTATTAATGACCTTTCTATGCTGAGAGGCCGGATGAGAAAGGAGGAGGGTTGGGCGTGTGGCCAGCTCCCCCTAATCCTGTAAACAATAATATTTGGTGGGCGGGATGGGGAAAGGGGGAGATAGGGAGATAAGGAGAGTGAATTCAGGAGAATCACTTTATCGAGCCGAAACCATGATGTCATATGTCATTTTCCCAACTACTGGGTTGTCATGTTTCACCATTTGACATGTAAATACATCGGCAGTACTATTCTCCTCGGTACACTGATACAGGGGCGTAGCAAGGTCAGG